TAAACAACCGTCAAAGTCTCAAGATCAATAATTATTTAAAAAAACTTGGCTTTTAAGCACAATGTTATTGCAAGTTATGGATCAATCAGTGCGGTCCAGCCTATTCGGAAACAAGGGACCACAAATCTGTCACTTGTGCTCTGATTGTGACCAAAAATGATATATACATTGCAAATAATCAGCTGAGGAAACCTATGAGATTTGGCTTGAATTGGCTTAAGTTGGCTCTTACAATGCTCAATGTACTGCCAACAATCTAAAATGTAATTATTCCTGTCTAAGATTAAAATAAAGACATGACTATTGTTTCAAATGATGCATCTTAATAAGAATTAACACTTTACAAATATGTGTAGGTTGCTTAACTGTGCAGGAAATCATATAATTTGATTTCAGCAAATTTTAATTAGAGCAAGAGGTGTTTTATATTTCTCTGGCCACCAGAGGGAGCCAAATCAGTAACTGCAAATGTTCAACTAATTAATTAAAGCTTTACTCTATGTCTTTAGGTCAAGACAATTTCTGTACTTTTTGCTTTCCACTGTGCCTGACAATTTTGTAAATACAAGTCTTTTAAAAAACTTTATTGTTTTTCTGTAAATCATCAGAGTTTGAAAACTGATGTTTTCATACTGCTTGCTGAAATGTTTTTGCAACACCTCAAACTTGGTCTCTAAACAACCGTCAAAGTCTCAAGATCAATAATTATTTAAAAAACCTTGGCTTTTAAGCACAATGTTATTGCAAGTTATGGATCAATCAGTGCGGTCCAGCCTATTCGGAAACAAGGGACCACAAATCTGTCACTTATGCTCTGATTGTGACTAAAATTGATATATACATTGAAAATTATCAGTTGAGGAAACCTATGAGATTTGGCTTGAATTGGCTTAAGTTGGCTCTTACAATGCTCAATGTACAACAATCTAAAATGTAATTATTCCTGTCTAAGATTAAAATAAAGACATGATTATTGTTTCAAATTATGCATCTTAATGACACATTAACACTTTGCATAATGTGTAGGTTATACTGTACAGGAAATCCTATAATTTGATTTCAGCAAATTTTGGTCAGATTTTTCTCTGGCCACCAGAGGGAGCCAAATCAGTAACTGCACGTCATTGTTGACATATACATGGAAAGCTTTACTGTATGTCTTTAAGCGAAGAGCATTTCTGAATGTTAGGTTTTTCACTAAGCCTAACAATTTTGCAAATACAAGTCTTAAAAAAACTTTCAGTAATATCATGGTTGAAAAAAGATGGAGAATAGACATTTCTTACTAATTCTTGAGTTTAAATCAAATTAAGTTTTTCTTAAAACCATCATATTGAAAATATCATGACTTAAACACAGTGTGGCTGAAGATTTGAATAATTTGGTGTGAATTGGCTTATCTGCCATAAAAAGCTAAAAATACACCAATAATTGTCTGAATATAACCAAATTTGACACAAATATACAAAATAACAAACTGACAGTGTATTATGATTTCATTTGAAATTATACTACTCAATAGTCACAGTAATTGCAAGGTGGAAACTAATTCCCAATGGGTTGGTGCTAGGTTCCTTATTGCTCTAGACCGATAAATTCTCTCAAAAAATAGGTCTGCTGTTGGCCTCTTCTAGCTCACCAAGAAAACATCCACCTTTGAAGCTTAAGGTCGTGGGTTTGACTCCCTGTATTAGTGTTGGATGGTGCTGTAGCAGTTGTTGTGCACACACGCTTAATTATTTCAATGAAGGGTCTTTCTTAAAAATCCAAAGATTTGCTGCCTTCTATGTCCAGAGACATGAAATTTGTTTATGCTGCTACTTTGTCCTAAAATGGTGTGTGGTTCCTTGTTGCGTCCTTTTAATAAATTGTTTCAAAAACTGCAGTTTTGCCACAGACGTCTTGTGGCTCAGCGTTAGAGCCTCTGCCTTTGAACTCTAGGGTTATGGGTTCGAATCCCCGTCATGGATGTTAAAATGAGTTGTGTAGATTGTAGCAGATGTATCAGCTAGTGGCCTTAATCATAGGAAAAGGAGAACTTTCTTAAAAATCTGGAGATCTGCTGCAGTCTACGACCAGGGGCCACTACTTTACTCCTCGAGGTCTTCCAGGTGCTTGGACCCCGCAGATTGCCGCTTGCGGCTATATTTAGTTTTGTTTTTTTCTTTGGATGGTCATTCATGCATCTGCTCATGTTTATATTTAGTGTTGCCAGAGTTTGTGTTTAATGGTACTGTTTGGTATGTTGTTGGTAACGACTTCAGAAGTGAGAAATACTGGGAGGAATTAAATGTTATTGTAAATTTCTTAACAATTTTAACTTTACAATTTGCTGTTTTTGTGTGCTGTGGTGCAAATTAGGATTACTCCCTCAGCTGATAAAGAAATTATGGAAAATAGAAATTGTAATCAAACTGCGTAAACTCACAGATCACAGTATGTTAAATAATCTTTGCACCTTATTCTCACTACCTCATGCTCAGAAATGAGTGCTGTGCCGGCGCTGCACTGTCCTGTCCTAATGTGTTTAATTTATCGTATTTATTGTATTGTTTCTAGTTTCATTTTTTGCACACTTACGTCTGCATGTTTGCACTTTGTACTGCTCAGTTTGTCCCATGTTGCACCATGTTGTTCCTGGAGGACCGTAATTCCACTCCACTGTGTACTTGTACATAGATGGAATGACAATAAAAGCCTCTTGGCTTGACTTGACTGTGGGAGCCAGAGACGGTATTGATTGATTGTGTCTAGAGATGAAACGATATTAAAATTTCATATCACGATTATCATGACCAAAATTATCACGATTATCGGTATTATCACGATATTGTTCAAATGTGTTGAAAAGTAAAATAAATTAAAAATAAATACTGATACACAAACTGAAACTCGTTTCACCAACTTTTATATTAACACAAATAGAATCGGCAGCAATATGCACTTTTTGTTTGCATAAACATTAAAAAATGAGGTAAATTCATTTTAGTATTACTTTTGTATTATTTACAATACTTGTAATACTCTGTAAACAAAAGAATAGCAAATGTATTATTATTACTGTTATTATTATTATTATTATATTATATTATAATAATAATAATAATAATAATAATAATTAATGACAATAACTAGGGATTTCCCTGCATAGAGAATTAAATCTCGACCATCTCTGAGGTGGGTCTTGATGGAAAATGACTACTTCTAAGAAGTGCTGCACTCGGGGGATTTCTGTCCGAACTGCAGCTGCAGCATATTGTGCCGTTGTGGCGCTGAACCCCTAATCAACACAGCGCACCAGGAAAAACAGCCAAAATCACAGAGGAACTGCGTGACCGCGCTGTGAGCTGCAGACAGTGTAGAACTCACACAGTGTGTCTTCACCTGTGGAGCTGCTCCTCTAAAAGCATTTAAAACTAAAACATAACAAAATTAATGCGCATCTGAGCTGCGGCAGAAACACTCCTAAAGTTTAATCTCTGAAACTCTGCTTTTCACAGTGTTTACTCGCGCGAGGTCCCGTCCCAAAGCACACTATCTTCCCTATGTAGTGCACTTTGTGGATCATGAAATAGCAAATCCTTCACCCAAAGAGTGCAGGAAATGTTCACAATAACAATATATTAATAATAGGTTACAAAGTCCCTATTTAAAACTCAGCTGCTTGTTAATGATCGTGTTTGAACAGTAGCGCCCTCTGTAGGGGACACTGAGTGATTTGAGACGGTGTTATTCTCTTCTCAGACAGTAAACACTGCAAGCGGGACGAGAAAGGGGAGCTGCGCAGATTGAACCTCTGTAGCGTCTCGTTAACTCAGAGCTCATTTTGGAGACTCTGCTCCACAGAAATGTGTTAAAAGCTTTAGTGTCGATTCACAGCTGATTCACCGATTGTTTTTTTTTTGTTTGTTTTTTGTTTTGACGCTAAAAGCTTCCTTTTGTATTATTATCGAACCATAAACATAAGTTAAACCACACAAACAGTGACATTTCTTCTGTTTCGAAGTCCACAGACTTCTCCGTTAAAGTTATCGCGAAGATGACTCGTAAGGTTGGATGTGTTGCCCCCTTTCGCCGCTATTTTCTTTCGGCCTGTTCTGCAGACAGGGTGGTCATCTGCAGACAGGGTGGTCATCTTCAGACAGGGTGGTCATCTTCAATTAACTTTCCTTCTGCATTCTTATAAAACCCAAAACATGACCAAACGTCAGACTTGGTCTTCTTAGAAGGCTGAAATATCTCAGAATCTCCGAGTTTTTCACACCGCGGTAATCGACCGCGGTTTTAACGATACTTTAAAGTTCAAACGGTACTACTAACCGTCATTAATTTTACCGCGGTTTACCGTGAAACCGGTAACCGTTTCATCTCTAATTGTGTCTTTAGTTTAATTTCTTTTGGTGAGTCAGAATCCGGGACACTGTCTAACTAACCAAGTAGTGATCCTAGACTCTGAAGAATACTTTTCTAGTAGCTAGCCATGGTTATACTGCATTACACTTACTTTACTTCATTCCTTAAAACTCATTTTCAGATCTTTTTACAGCTCAGGGATAAAATGATCAAAACCAGAAAGTTAGAAACCAGCAAAAAACGGTTCTAATGTGTTCTAAAAACTGGTTCTAATGAGGTAGTACATTAAACACAGCACTTTAAGTCACTGGTGGACTGGTGACCTGTCCAGGGTGCATCCTGCATTCCATCCAATGACTGCTGGGATAGGCTCCAGCTCCCCCTGCAACATGGAAGGATCAGCAGCTTATAAAGTGTGTGTGTGTGTGAGTGTGTGTGTGTGTGTGTGTGTGTGTGTGTGTGTGTGTGGTGTGATTATATTTGATGTTTTGGTCATGTAGAGAAAAGTTAGGATTCTGTAATTCTGTTGGTGAATGTCTTCCACCTGGTGGACAAAACCTGCAAGTGCAACAAACTTTCATCAGGAAAGGGTGGGCGTGGCCTCATGACGTCACTGTGGAGAAACGAAAGTAAAGTGGAAACTGTTTCATAAACACAGTCCAGTTACTTGCAGCTAAAATCGACATCCAGCTTGAAGCTTCTTCAGCTTTTCTCAACTCAGTCTGCAGCTGGAAGGTTCTCCAGACGTTCTTAGAGGATCTACCACCACTGCAGGTGAGAGAACCTCTACAGGAAGCCAGAGGAAGACTTTGTGTTGCTCAGCACATTTCTGTCTTTAACTTGTTTAGCTGCGGTTTGTGTTTTAGTTCTGTTAAACTAGATTCAGCTGTATTTTACATTTCTAAGCTCAGGTTGTTTGTTATAGGCTGACAGAATGAGGGCTTGAATTCAGTACAGAGATCAGGTTATAGAGCATTTTAAACAGCTGGAATATGAAGCACATACTGGGGCAATGTCTGTTGGTTCAGGGGAGCAGGATTAAGCAACAGGACAAGCTGTGTGCCCTCGTGGTGGAAGAGGCTGAGAGGCCCACAGTTGTGATGAAGTTAACTACATTTCATAAAGACGTTTTCTGTGATCTCAAATAACCGTCATGATGTCTGTCTATCTTCTCCGTCAGTCATGGCTTCCTCCAGCAGTCTCCTGTCTGAAGATCAGCTCCAGTGCTCTATCTGTCTGGATGTGTTCACTGATCCAGTCACGACTCCATGTGGACACAACTTCTGCATGGTCTGTCTCGAAGAGTGCTGGGACAGCAGTTCACGCTGCCAGTGTCCAGTCTGTCAGACAGATTTCTCCAAAAGGCCTGATCTGTGTGTGAACACGTTCATCTCTGGACTGGCTGCTCAGTTCAAGAAGTCAGATCAGGTGAAATCCAGCAGAGCTCCAGAGAAACGACCCTCCAGCTCTCAGCTGCTCTGTGACATCTGCAGTGAAAAGAAGAGTCCAGCTCTGAAGTCCTGTCTGATCTGTATGACCTCTTACTGCGAGACTCACCTGGAGCCTCATCAGAGAGTAACTTCATTAAAGAAGCACAAACTGATGGACGCTGTGGAGAACCTGGAGGACTACATCTGCCAGAAACATGAGAGACCCCTGGAGCTGTTCTGTAGAGACGACCAGACGAGTGTGTGTCAGTTCTGCACTGAGACAGACCACAAGACTCACAGCACTGTTCCTATAGAGGAGGAGAGTGGAGAGAGGAAGGTGAGGAATTAAAGAATTTTAGCTAAAACGGAAGCATCTCATTTACTCTAAATTAATGATTGGTTTGTATAAGTGTGTGACAATTTGTCACAGACTCAGCTGGTGAAGACACAGGTAGAAGTTCAGCAGATGATCCAGGACCGACTGAAGAAGATTGAGGAAATCAAACACTCTGTAAAACTCAATAAAGTGAGTCTTAACAATGGCGTATAAGTACTGTTTGTTCATCGTGACACATCAGCAGAACTGCTAGGAAATACATACGTGTGGAAAAATTACAATAATGAATTTTGATTTGTCTCCTGTTAGAAAATCACAGAGGAGGAGAAAGCAGACAGTGAGGAGGTCTTCAGAGCTCTGCTGCGCTGCATTGAGAGAAGCCAGGCGGAGCTGCTTGAGGTGATGGAGGAGAAGCAGAAAGCAGCAGAGAGGCAGGCTGAAGAGTTCATTAAAGAGCTGGAGCAGGAAATCACTGAGCTAAAGAGGAGAGACACTGAGCTGGAGCAGCTCTCCCACACTGAGGACCACCTCCACCTCCTACAGGTCAGAGTCCCTCTGTTTCTCAGTAGTAATGCAGTCCATCACAGGACAGCACTCCCCATGCTGAGGGGTTTCTCCTCTCTCCTGCTGGACTGTAGGTTTACCCGTCCCTCTGCAGCCGTCCACACACCAAGAACTGGACTGACGTCAGGATTAACACTCATCTGAGGGTGGAGACTCTGAGGAGAGCTCTGTCTTGGCTTCGGGAATCAGTCAGTAATGAGATGGAGAAGTTTGTGGCGATTGGTGAGTATCTACTGATCGGTGAGAACTTGTGATAAAAAATGTCTTCAAAATCCTGATAATAATATCTATGCTTGGTAAATGGTTCATTTAAAACTGTAATTTTGCATTATTCTCTATTAAAAATTATCCTTTCATTATGCTGTCCTTTAAAATTAGTGTTAATTTTGGTATTTTGATATTTTGGATTACATGAAGTATTTAATATTAATTTAGTTGTTTTAAATGTAATCTATTTTATTTCAAGCATTAAAAGAAACAAAATGTAAAATTATTATAATGATTATTGTAATGATATTGTCTGTTGTTTCTCTCCAAACAGAACTAAAAGCAGTTCAACAATATGCAGGTTTATGCACAAGAATTACATAAATAAATATATGTGTGTCTGTATTACTATATGCGATACACTTCTGAAATTACTTGTTTTTTTCTCTCTCAGTTGATGTGACTCTGGATCCTGATACAGCAAATCCTAATCTTATTCTGTCTGATGATGGGAAACAAGTGACAGATGGAGACACAGAGCAGAATCTCCCTGAAAACTCAGAGAGGTTTGATGAGTGTCCTTGTGTTCTGGGAAAGGAGGGGTTCTCCTCAGGGAGATTTTACTATGAGGTTCAGGTCAGCGGGAAGACTGAGTGGGAATTAGGAGTGACCACAGAGTCCAGTAACAGGAAGGGGGGGATTACACTGAGTCCTGAGGATGGATACTGGACTGTGTGGCTAAGGACTGAGACTGAATATGAGGCTCTGGACTCTCCCTCTGTCCCCCTCTCGTTGAAACAGGCTCCCCAGAAGGTGGGGGTGTTTGTGGATTATGAGGAGGGTCTGGTCTCCTTCTATGATGTTGAGGCCAGGTCTCATATCTACTCTTTCACTGGTCAGTCTTTCACTGAGAAACTCTATCCATATTTCAGCCCCTTTGACGATGATGGAGGTAAAAACTCAGCACCGCTGATCATCACACCTGTTGATCATGATAAATGAGGCTCTTCTCTACAGTAAAACACTTCACTGAGTCAGAGGAAACTTTGTACTCTGACATTTCAGAGCATGAATAAAAGCATATTTTCTTTCAAATTTCAAATCTTAACACAGTTTATGGTATTAATGAATGAATGAACAAATAAGAATATAATAAATAAATGAATCAGTAGCTTTAAACGGTTACTTTGTGTTAAAGGTGCTTCAAATTATTCTTTTATTATATAATTTAAAAAGATGATTTAACCGAGCCGCCAGTCTCGTATGTGTCGTCTCAAAGCCTTCCTGGTTACACTGTAAACTCTGTGGCTCTGCATCCCTTTAATGTGCACACAGTGAAACACTTCTACTGAAAATACTGGGGGGTTAATTCTGCTATTCAGATCACACTGAACAACTTTTTATAGCTTTGTTTTCCAGATTTGCCCTCAGATCAGAAATTATGAACGTCTACCGGCTGGTTGAGCTTCTCACTTAAGGACTAGTTTTACAAATAATTAAATTTACATGATTTTCCTCTTAACACAAATATAGTCAATCAGCCAAGTTTGTTGACGTGTTTGGTGTCCAGGTTTTGCTTCTTTAGTTTAGGACTGTTAGATCCCAGTTATTTTTAGAATGAGTTTATATTTACAACAAACAATAAAGTTAAGAAGGTAAAGCATCAAACATTGTGTTTTTGTACCATTTGCAATCTAATAAAGATCAAACAGAATTTAATAATCACTGCTTTCTGTTTTTATTAGTATTTCATATACTGTCCAGACTTTTCTGGAACTGTGTTTGTACCTGATTTAAAATTGAACATCAACCTTCAAACTGCAGATACTTATAAGCCAGCATTATCTTGGATGTAGCCATGAAGATTTACACTTTTTTGTGGGAACATTTAGTTCCAAACATTTTGAAAATTCATTGATATTAACACGTATTTATCCATTTTTAAAAGTCAAACAATGGATAATGAGCTTAAAAAGTGCTGAATGTATTGTAAAGTATGTAAAACATATTGTAGTACCTTAAATGCATTCCTACTGCTAATTGTTGCATGTTCGTGTGCTGATCCAGATCGTTTTAGTTGAATATGTTTAGACAAATGGTAAATGACAAACATCTCCCACCTGGTGGCCAAATCGTGCAAGTGCATTAAGCTGTCGTGCTGAAACGGTGGGAATGGTCTCATTATGTCACCCAAGAGAAATGAACCTGAATGCAGCTTCTTTCATCTTGATTGTGCTTGTGGTTTTTCAGAATGCTTTTCTCTTGCTTGGGTTCCCACAATGATGTAATGTCGGTGCCATCACCTGAAGTAGAAAAAGCATCCCACTTCTGACACATATGTAGCATTAGAGTCAGCCATTTTCTGCTTCAGGAAATGCTCTGTATTGAGGCAAACAGAGAAGGGACTGACACATGTGAAAATAGAGGGAAAGCCACCAACAGCAAAGCATCTCAAAGAGGAACACTTCAAAACACACACCAGTTTAACTGAAAAGAGCATAATTTACCCAAACAACACATACACACATTTCTGCTAAAACATGTAACACATTAGACTTAATACGGCTGCGTAGAGGCGCAAGGCATTCTGTAATTCTCCAATTGGCCCAGAGTCTTAAGTCTGGTTGCAGTACCACAATATGCTCATAATAGGAGCTTATTCTGCATCTTCCTCATGTACTTTTTTAAATTATTCGCCTTTTCCCACCACTGTTTTTTATATTAAAAAATATACATAAATGATAATTATATATATATGAAATTGTTTTGCTTATTTTATTGTTGTCCATTTTTATAAGATTAATGTGTGATCAATGAACTCTGTCTGTGGTGTTCTATTCTGTTATACTATTTAGTAAGGCAAAGCTTTTCGGATTCAGCCCCAGACTTCAGTCCTGGTGGTTCACAGAAATACAGAGCTTCAGCGAGCTCTGGTGTGGTCTGCTGAGCATGTGGAAGCTATTAATTTATCATGTTCATATTATCACATTGCTTTACCTTTTAAGGTTCAGAGATGGCAAGAAAGGTGTGTTGTGGACAAACAGCCCTGTTCTTCACCGCTTGAGTGGTTTTATCCAAGGACAATAATAAAAAGCAGCAAACAGGTGAAGTTCGTGCTGATCGTTTTGCAAACCTGCGCACCGAAAAGTGATGTATGGAGCTGCACAATGGATCCATGGCCCGGATGGAATTCTTGTGTGTGAAAGCAAACCAGCGCTGATGAGCCCCTCCACCAAAGAGCCCAGAATCGGTCCTGGGTGCACTAATGTTAGAATAAATACAAATAAACAAATTCTGTGTGTGTGTTAGTTTAACCATTTCAAAAGCTGCCCTCAAGGATGTCCAGCATTTCCAGCTATAATCCACTATCTGGTTTATCTAATTAGTCCTTCATTACATTAAATGGATGAAATTGAACTAATTTGTGTGATGGATGGAGTGCAGCAAGTATTCAAGAACCAAACTTCTAGCTGGCAAGTTAATAACTTTAATGAATACATTCAGGTTACAATTTAAATTCATTCTAATGTCATATAATCTTGATGTGTATAATATTATATAGTTCATATCTATCAAAAACATGCTTACTGTATATATAAATTGTTTTCAACAATTTTCTTGGAGGACTTTTGCACTGTATTATATTTCTTAGCACAAAGAATAATTAGTAACCAGACAAACTGGGTCTCTAAAAAACAAGCATTCAGGACCAAAACCTGTATTTAACAAACAGCTTAGCAGAGCCGACTGAACTGTGACTGTATTGATGAGGACAGTCACATCACTCATGTACAGAAACTTTGAAGGACCTGGAAACCAGAACAAGGGTGAAACCGTGAAACTGGTCAAGTCTAATGCTACAACTTCTCTTATAAATAAGTGCTAAAGCTGAAGGCGCTTCCTGTTGTTCAGCATGTGTCCACCATGAGCCATGATAGCTGCCACTGTCCATTTTGTAAGACATAATAATTCTGTTCTATGTGTTCACATATTCATCTCTGGACTGCTGTGGTGTCCCACGTTAAGACTCATCTGGAACTTGTATCTGTGTTCTGGGAAAGGAGAGGTTCTCCTCTGGGAGAGGTGCGGGTCAAGGGGAAGACTGATTGGGAGTTAGGAGTGACCAGAGAGTCCATTAACAGGAAGGTAGAGATTATAGGCAGTCCTGAGAGCGGACACTGGTCAGCGAGTCTGAGAAATGAAACTGAATACAAAGCTCTTGATTCTCTCCCTGTCCTTCTCTCCTTGAATCAGGCTCCCCACACATCTACTCTTTCACTGGTCAGTCTTTTACCGAGAACATCTATCCATACTTTTCTCCCTACCTCAGTGATGGTAAAAACTCCAGCACCACTGATTATAATTCCAGTTCAATGTTTAAAACTGAGGATCATCTCTCAAACTGTTTTAGGATGTCCAGAAAAATTAAAGGACAAGTATGAGATCAAAGAGGAACCTACAGGGATTGATACCTACAGCTGTGGAGACGGATCACCAGGAGCATGACTTTTTTATGGTGTTCCTTTTCCCAGATTCCCACTTTTTATTTGCTCCCTCAGATGCACAAGAGGACAGAGCCTGATTATCTATTTGTGAACTTCCACAGTAAACATTTAGTACAGTTAACATTTAGTAGACATCATATAACCAAGATGCTACATGTTTTGCAAGTCATAGTGGTGAAGAGGGAGCTAAGCCGTAAGGCAAAGCTCTCTGTTTACTGGTTGGTCTACATCAAACCCTCACCTGTGGTATTGAGCTGTGGGTAATGACCGAAAGAATGAGATTATGCATACAAGCGGCAGAAATGAGCTTTCTTTGCCGGGTGAGGTGGTTTGGGCATCTGATTAAGATGCCCCCTGGATGCCTCCCGGTGGGGGTTTACCAGGCACAGCCTATGGGGAAAAGACTCTGGGGTCATCCTAGGACCCACTATAGGGATTATATCTCCAAGTTGGCCTGGAAGCGGATTTTTCTTCAGGTTCAGGGCACTGCTGTGGCCAGCTGTTTTGCCTCTAATTTTCTAATCTATTTCTGGGCTTATGGCAAAATTGTTTTACCAATGATGTTTCTTGTATAAGGATAAAATACAACAGTGGGGTGGGTTGATATTTTACTGATCTAGACAGGATCAGAGGAGGAACATGTGCTTTTTCATGATTGATCTTAATCACAACAATAGGAACATCAGGCTAAGTACTGAGTATTCAAAAAGCAAAGGGGAATTTCTTGGCTTTAATTATTGTCAAGGGTGAAGATGGACAGCTTCATATTACAGTTTTTCAAACTCTCTCAATTGGCTTATTAATAATATACCTTTTGGTCTGTTTCCATGGATTCAACAAATTTGTGATCAGGACCTTGTGACAGGTCAGTCCCTGTCACCCGTCCTGTAGTTTCACCCAATGCCACCACTAGGTGGGAGCAGTGAGCCACCTTTAAGTAATCAGAGACAACCGGTAAGTTGGGCTCTACTTAAGAGTGGCTCTTTATTCTGTTTTATGAGATTGCATGCTATGTCCACCTATTGATTGATCAATCCAGCATTTGGGTAACTGCTCTCAAGTCTTTGAGTTTTCTCCTGGTCTGTCTAAGCCTGTCTTGAGTCACTTTTAACAACAATGTAAGTTTTTTTTTTTTTTAAAGAATTAATAAAATGAAAGATTGAGTCATTGGTCAATTCTCCCTTCCTTTCTTGAGAATGTGGACATTCTTTTGGGTTTTTAGTGGCATTGTAGCTCAGTTGACTGCTCACTGGTCAGTGATCCTCTAGGCCATGGTTTAATCCCAGTATGGGGTGTTTCTTGGTTTCTTCTCTTTGGAGTAGTTTTAGTTAAGGTTTCTCTTTGGCACCAGCATTTCTAAACTTTGTTTAGTTACACTGTTCATTTTGTTTTTCACTGCCATCTGTTCTTGTGCTCTGCAATTGAGGTCCCTTGCTGCCCACAGCTGGTGGTTCAACACTTTGGTCTCCCATAACTGGAGGCCTGGGTTTAATTCCACCTGTGGGTGACCCCTGTTACACCACACTGTAAAAGGTAACACTACTCCTTACTTAAATAACATTAGTGAACTTTACTTATTTCATACTATCCTAGTGATTCAACTCATGTAATTTAAGTAATGTGCTCATTTTATATGAAAGACTTCTAAAACTAAACACATTTGAGTAAGTTAAACTACACTCGACACTCTCGAGCTCTGCAGTGCGCATGTCAAGAGGAGCGATGCAGGAGAACCTTCCAGACATTGGACTTACACGTGGGAAGCAGAACCAGTTCTGAGTCTTTAGGTAAGTTATTCAAACTAAATACTCATTCAAATTTGTTAGCTATGGTTTCATTACTCACAACTGCATTTTCGCAGTCCATATTTTCTGTTTATTTTGATAAACCGAAAGTAAATTCATGATAGGCTAATGCTAAATTTGACTAACATTGACGCTAACTACCTAGCTGATACGCCACATAGACACAGAAAACCCTAGCCTACACGTCCATGATTTCTCTTCTGTTCAATTTTATTAAGATGTGTTTTTATTAAATTAACTTGAAGTGATAATTTGATAGGCATATTTCCGAAAAAATGTGCGCTAACGCTTGCCGCACGTAGTTAGCTAACGAGCTATTTGTGCACCCGCGTAGTAATGGAGAGACAGTACTTC